TTTCAAGGGCGCCCGCGTGGCTACTTTCCTTACTGGGTATGATGTCGCGCAGTCCGGGAGGTCACGCACCCGCCGGATGATCTCAGGCAGGCAGGCAAGTGAAGAGACCCCCTCCGGGGTCCTTGGGGAGATTTGAAATTTTTTTGTACCAAGGATCAAACTCAGGACCTTGTGCTTATGAGGCAGGTATGGTGAACTAAATCACTAGCCCAAAATTCGGTATTTTTATATCTCCATATTTTCTGTTTAGATACCTATCTCCATTTTCTTGATCTTAGTTCATTGTGTTGATAAATATTTAATGTTTTTAATTTACATGAGACATAATTATATATTTTTGAAAATTTACACAGCATCCTCAGACAAAAAAGATGTGCCATTTTTCCCAGGTTTAAAAAGAATAAAATACCTGTATTTCTCACTAGTTTAGAGTCCCTCAACATTATCCCTGACTTTTGAAATTCTCCTGTTTGTGATAAAATATATATAGCATAAACTTACCATTTTAATCATTTTGTACAATTCAATGACATTAACCACATTTTCAATGTTGTACAACTATTATGCCTGCCTAGTTCCAGAACTGTCATCTAAAAATTGTTTGAATGTAATAATCATGTGAAGTTGTCATTGTAGTACCATGAGACTAGTAGAAATTTAACAAACTTGTTAGTTTTTCTTTAAAACATTAAAAAAAGCTGTCTTATGTAATTGCATCCATTTACAAATTTTCTAAATAAAATTGAAATTTTATGTAACTGTATCCTTTTCAGCATTCCCACCCATAACTTGAGGCACTAGATGTATGCTTATTAATTTTTGTATTTCCTCAATGTAAGCTTCTGAAAATTAATTTGGTACATGAATTTTATTCCAAATGGAAGAATATATGAAATTACTTAAAAAGACATATTGAAGTTACACAGAAATTGTAGTTATACACATATTTTAAAAATGATGTAATTTTTCGTAGATGATGCCACATTCTTCTCTGGTTCACAGAATGTAACACTGACATGTCATTTCATGTCAATACATCAACGTATACATAATTGTATCAATGGCTGTGTAGTAATCCATGATTAAGATTGTAAAGAAAGTCCTATCCCTGAGTCTAACAGGAATCTTTAACCCTTTAGGTGGCATTTGATGCAAAACCTGTACTTTGAATTGTAAAGTATGAAGAATTGGCTGAACTGACTTCATTCTAACTTTCCAACTGTCTCACAAACTCCTCCATTTCAAGCATACATTTATGCTACTGGAACATACTTTCTAATTACATGCTTTTCTTCATACCACCATGGCCCACTTCCAAGAATGACTTCTCATCCTATCCTTTGGTGACCAATTGAAGTGGATCCCTCTCCTCTGAAGCATTCCTGCAGTATCACAGCCCACAGTAATTTCTCCCTTAAGATATAAGAATGGGATTTTCTAATGAGCATATATGTTCATCACATCACTAATTACTTGGGGTTACAAGTGTGCACAATGTCTCTACACCTCATTTTTAAAGTGAAGGGTCATTTGTGCCTATTTTGGCATAGAACTTTATTGAAAACACAAACTCCAGTAGAGAACCACATGTTTAAACAGTGAATAGCAGAGCAGCTTACTCAGATGACTCAGGTCACCGCAAGCTCAACACTAAAAACTTTCACAATTTTCACAGCAAGACAAATATCAACAAATATGTTTACAGTTCTAATATTCATTTGGCATCCACAAAATGACCCAGCTTAAAACAGAGTTCAATAAGTTAACAGCAGCATTAAAAATGTAAATAACAACATAAAACCAGACTGTGAACACTAAAGCACTATTCAGGGTTCTTTGGGAACATAAGGCTGATCAGCAGCAGGTGGTTAACCACATTAACTCTGTTGGCCCACCTTAGGATCATTCTGATTGTCTATTTGGACTTGCAGTTGCTTAGCCAACTCCTCAAATTCATGGAATGCAGAAATAAGTGGCTCAAGACTGAAATCATCATCAATGAAGGCCATTGCCCCACTTCTTATGATATTACTGATATTCCGAAACATTTTAATAACAATCTGAATATTATCATTTGTCTCTTCTATGTTAAAAAGACCCACAAATATTGTCAGAGCTTTGGCACTGAATAGCTTTTTTGCCACCTTAAGATTTTCAGACAAATTCAGGAGCATTTTCAGAACATGAAACTTTGTTCTTGCATTGCCTGTGGTTAACAAGGAAAGAAACCCAGACATATAATTGGCAACCAGTGTATGATAGTCAGTAGTCATAGTGAGATGCCTCAGCATCATTATTCCAGTCAGCTGCTCAGGAGAATCCACACCATGAGCAAGGGTTTCCTCACACACTTGGCATATGAATGTCTCAATCATATTTAGATTTGGATATGGTGGAGCCAAGTGAATCATGTTTTCCAAGAAACTTGTCCTAACACGGGAGGACGGATAATTCAGCAATGTTTCAATGAGAGAGACAACACCTGAATCCCGAATGAAATCTCGGGTAAACTGAGAAGCACTTCTCATACCCATTGCAATTTTAGAGATTTCTTGAATAAAAGGATCCCGAATTTTATCCATTAATAGAAGAAGTTCTTCGAACTCTGCAGCCCCAATTTTAAGCTCACACTGTATGCAGCTGCAAGACCAATTCTCAGGATCTGCATTTTCCCTGATCTTAAAATGTTCACGAATTTCTTGGACTGACCGATAGGAAGGATCATACTGAAATGGGTATACAGATTCAAACTGATCAGGTGCAAACAAAAATTCTTCCTCTTCCCCTTCCAGGTTCTTGGGCTTTGCCTCAATCACTTCATCAGAACCTTCGGGAATTCTAAAAGAGGTTATGGGTGGGAAGCCAATGGCACGGCATGGACGTTTGAACTGAACAGTGACCTCATCCCAGGTTTGGGGCCTAGTTGATACACTAGGTTCTTCCACCACTGAATCTCTAAACCTGCAATTGACCCTATACACAGGACTAGGATTTAAGTCAAAGCAGGCCTCATCTCTATCCCAGAACCAGGATCCAAATACGGCCTCTTCTTCAGACTCAGGCCTGGCCTCTTCTCTGGCCAAAGCCCCCAAACTGGACTTTTCTTCAGTCCAGAACAAGGATCCACCAATGGCCCCCTCCTCAGCCCCTGACTCAGAGTCACAAATTGCAGCAGCTCCAGCTTCCAAACTGGCCTCTTTTTCTGCCCAGAACCAGGACCCAATAATAACTTCCTCCTCATACCTGGTCTCTTGCTCAGCTCTGTCATTGTGTTTAGTATCTTTCTGGGCCCTGGATTTCAAGATGTCATTAGGCTCTTCCTTGTCTTTGGGCCTGAATCTACTCTTGGGTTCTTCTCCAGGCAGAAACCAGGACTCCTTATAGTACTCATCTTCAGACTCAGATTCAAAACATTCCTCTTTCTTTGTTTTGAGCTTGGACCTGATATTTGTCTCTTCTCTCATTTTGGGCCTGAACAAATTATTGGTATTTTCACCAGCCCAAAAGCTGAATGGGTTGCCAGCCTCTTCCTCAGACCCAGACCAAGATTCAAAATAGGTCTCTTGCTTGGATCTAGGCCTGGTCTTGGGGTTAGTCTGATGTTTAGCCCTGTGTGTGGACCTGGTATTAGCCTCTTCCCTGGGCCATGATCTGATACTAGTTTCTTCTCCAGCCCACAAAGACGACACAGCAGAGGTCTCATCTGCTGACCCAAATCCAGATTCATTAGAGGCTTCCTCTCTGGCTCTGGGCCTGGGATGGCACCAAGAACCCCCATTAGTCTCCTCCCTTTGTCCAAACCAGGGCTGGAGTCCTGTCTGGCCCTGAGAGCCAGAAAAGGATTCAGTGTCTGCATTTACCACTTCCTCAACCATAGACAAGCCATTGGATGTAGTACCTGACCCAGAATCAGTACTGACCAGTGGCCAGGTGACAGCATTAGTCTGGGATGTTCCATCTGACTGTGACATTGCATGGACCCCAAACTCAGTCTGTGACCATGCCAGAGCATCATCCTTAGTCCTTGCTCCCGGGATTGCGTTGGCCTCAGTCTTAGGTTGCGCAGCACCTACTGCCCTCCCTTCAATTTTGGGCCTTGCCCCAACCACTGCTGGGGACTCAGTTTTGGGCCTTGCTCCAGCCATTGCTGAGGCCTCTGATTTGGACCTTGCCCCAGACGTGGCTGTTGATTCATTTTTGGGCCTTGCCCCAGGCACTGACTTGGACTCAGTTTTAGGGTTCGCTTCAGGAGTTACCTGGGTTTGGGGTCTAACTTTGGGTCTGACAACCAAAGGGACTTCATTCTCAGGCCCTCCCACGCCCTCTTCTCCAGCCTTCTTTTCAGGCTTGGCCTGGGCACCAGGCTCAACTTCTGTCCCAGTCATTGTAAAAGTTAACAAAGAAGGCTCAGTTAAGTTCCCGTACCAGACTCAGTCTCTACAACAGATCTATCCCAGAGCTGTAGCTGGACACAGTTTTGATGATGCAGGACATAAAGTGGAGGAGATTTAAAATCAACCACTAGTCCAGCAGATATTCAGGATCCTACTCCAGCACAAACTCAGTCAATAATACAGATAAAGTGCAGATGAGGCATAACCAGGCTGGGGAGTGCTGGATGGTTCCTGGCTGGGTGCAGACCCGTTGAGGGTGGTGGCCAGCAGCAACTCCAGCACCAAAGAGAGAACAATGGGGAATTGAGTCTCTCCTCCAATTATGCTGCCTCATGCAGAGACTCAGACTGGTGCGGACTGCTAGGTGGAAAAACTAAACTGAGAAAGTCTCTGTCCCCTTTGCCTGCTACGAAACAGGTATGGAGAGGGGGGGGAAGTGTGCTGACAATGGAGAGGCAGAGAAGCCCCGCGACCGGACCCTAATCAACCCTGGAC